ACGTGCCTGTAATCTCAGCTACTCAGGAGGCTGAGGCAGGAGAATTGCCTGAACCCAGGAGACGGAGGTTGCGGTGAGCCGAGATCGCGCCATTGCACTCCAGCCTGGGTAACAAGAGCGAAACTCCGTCTCAAAAAAAAAAAGAAAAGAAAAGAAATATCAGTGAGAAATGAAATGCAAGAAATAGTCTCTCAAACAGATACTGAAGTCCCTATTTGACTTTCTGACCACAGCAGCAGTTGTTACAATGATTCCTTAATAAAAGAAGGTAGATTATTCTAGAGATTGCTAGAGAGTGTCCCACTATATTGGGTTTGGTTTGGTTTGGTTTTTGTTTTTGCTTTGAGACAGAGTATTGTTCTGTTGTCAGGCTGAAGTGCAACGACTCAATCTCAGCTCACTGCAACCTCCTTCTTCTGGGTTTAAGTGATTCTCCTGCCTCAGCCTCTTCAGTAGCTGGGATTACAAGCTACTTTTTGGATTTTTAGTGGAGACGGTTTCTTTATGGTGGCCAGGCTGGTCTTGAACTCCTGACCCCAGGTGATCTGCCTACCTTAGCCTCCCAAAGTGCTGGGATTACAGGCTTGAACTACCGCGCCCAGCCAATATACTGTTAAAATCTAGATATTTGTTTTTTTCCTGCAAGTCTACTGGATTAGGACCTTCTAAGTTTTTATTCAGGTGAAATAAAGTCCCTGGATGGCCCCTGCCCAGTACTGAAACCCTCTTCCGGGATAAGAGGATAAATATAATTCATCAATTAGTTTCATGATTGTGAGCTCCTTGACACTACAGAACTGCCATTTATTCATCTTACATTCCCTGCACACCTCACAGTACCTGGGTCACAGTAGGTGATTGGTAGATACTTCATAAACTGTACTGAACTGAACACAGTCATGAGACCTAGATTTTCAGCTTCCTTTCTTCTCCATAGGAATAGTGGAGAACATTAAAACCGTAAATTTTGGAGAAGTGAGGAAATCCAAAAAATAATGTGCTTGTCCTACCCTTTAAATTTTTATCATAGTTTCCTTTAATATAAAACAAACCCGTGGGACAGAATTGGTTAAGTTGAATAAACCATTCTTAGAAGCAAAATGCTATCCGATACATTCTGTTAGTGGTAGTTGCTACTGTTAATTCTTACCTGAAGCTTTTCTCTAGGTTTGTCTTCTCTCTTGAGCTTTAAGGCTTTTCTTAGGTGGGAGTCGGGGAAGACTGGGTGGGCAGTATATTCAAATATTGGATCTGAACCCTGTTCTCCTTAGGTCCTGACTTCCAGTCCTTGTTCTCACCACAGACTTATTTCAGACAGAGGCGAAACTTCGTGAAGCAGTGCTTCATGCACTACGTAAAACTACCTACCATTGGCAAGAACTGAGGTAAGGGGGGACTGGAAAATGTGCACAAGAAGGAAAAGGTGGACTTTAGAAAGAGAGTTGGGGGAATACAATTACACAATCAATGTAGTATTTTTTTTTAATCACCTGACCTTAAAAGGATCAATTTAGTATTTGAAAAAGCTAAAGTTCAAAGTTTTGAACATTAAAGTTTGAAAATTTAGTATTTGTAAGGCTCCCCAGGACCCTTCTGTATTGGGGAGTGAAAGGCCTGAGCAGGAAAAGCCCTTTCCAAGATGTCATTTTCTAAATCTAGAAGGTAACTATGGGATTAAGATTATTTACCAGTATATATGACTCTCTGATTTTAATGGCAGCTACAGTGAGGGACTGAGCCTGGTATATATGGCAGCAAGACTGGATGGTGGCTTTGCAGCAGTCTCCAGAGCATTCCATGAGGTGAAAGTCCCTTAACTTCCAACCTGAACTTTTTGACCATCAGTTCCCTATTCATAAAGTAGTTTTCTGGGATGGGAATTCTTGGGACATTGCATATGCATTGGTTTTTTTGTTTGTTTGTTTAAAGAGGATCTTCACTGGGCATGGTGGGCTCCTGCCTGTAGTCCCAGCTATTTGAGAGGCTGAGGCAGAAGGATTTCTTGAGCCCAGTTTGAGGCTGCAGTGAGCTGTGATCTCCACTGTGCTCCAGCCTGGTGACAGAGTGAGACCTTATCTCTTAAAAAAAAATACAAAATAAAGACATTCTCTTTATCCTGTGAAAGCATTCTGTGACCCAAGAAAGGTTTAGAATCACTATTTTAGGAGATTCTTATTCCATGAGATATTTACATTGAATTTCAAAAGGCATTTACATCTCATATCCTCTGTGATAGCTCCTAATTCATATTTACCAAGGTCCTAAATAAGTATCTAATTACCCTACTGTGGGATGTTGTATATTTCTTCAGATCCGGGCTCGAAATCCAACATTTCAGCCACAAACTTTAATGGACTTTGGCTCGGGTACTGGTTCTGTCACCTGGTAAGTAACTTTCTTCAGCCCTGTCTTGGTCAATTTTAGCTCTAGAAAACCATACTTACACAACTCCAAAATCAAGAGACTGGAAAACCAGAGGGAGAATAGGCAACTTGGGAATCTATAATGTTTCTTCCATCAAATTAGGCAAGGCAAAAGAAGGTATATGAATTGGGGCCAGAGCTTAATGTCAAGTGAAAAAAAAAGGCCCATTTTTAGAAAAATTAAAAAGAAAAGGAATTTTCAAAGTTTTTTTTTTTTTTTTTTTTTTTTTTTTTTTTTTTTTTAAGACGAAGTCTTGCTCTGTCACCCAGGCTGGAGTGCAGGGGTGCGATCTTGGCTCACTGCAACCTTCACCTTCTGGGTTCAAGCGGTTGTCCTTCCTCAGCCTCCCAAGTAGTTGGGACTACAGGCACCCACCACCATACCCATCTAATTTTTGTATTTTTAGTAGAGTTGGGGCTTCCCCATATTGGCCAGGCTGGTCTCAAACTCCTGACCTTGCTATCTGCCCACCTCAGCCTTCCGAAGTGCTGGGATTACAGGTATGAGCCACCGCACCCAACCAAGTCTACCTTTTTTTTTTTTAAGGAGTTATAAATAAAACAAGAGAATAACACTTAGTTTTTCCAACTATTTTAACATAACACTCTCTTTTCCCAGTGATGGGGTTGGGTATAAATGGGTCTCTTGTAGAGATGACTCTTGGTCATGGGAATTGATGATTTATAATAATTTTGCCATCTTAGGGCTGCTCACAGTGTTTGGGGCCAGACCCTACGTGAATATATGTGTGTGGACAGATCAACTGCCATGTTGGTTTTGGCAGAAAAGCTACTGAAAGGTGAGTGCAAGAGCACTTCCACAGTTGAGGGAGTTAAGAAAGCACAGGGGTACTAGTAAAAGCATTTTACTGGGAATTAGAGAAGAGGGTAAAAATTAAGATGAATCTGGGCTATTTTAAAGTTATGGTCAAGCAAAGGGTGGTATTAGAGGTTTCCGCTGGACTGAGGATGGGTTGGGTAAGTTTCAAAAGACAGGAAGCCTAATAGTCTCCCTGCCTTTTTTGGTTTTTTGGACTTTTTTAAATTTTAGATTAGAGATAGGGTCTCCATATGTTACCCAGGCTGGTCTTAAACTCCTGGCCTGAAGCCATCCTCATCCTCCCACTTCAGCCTCTAGGGTAGCTGGGATTATAGGCATGTGCCGCCATGCCTAGCTCATCTCTGCCCTTTTTGATATACACTTTCCCTATTCTTGGGGCCATGTTTCCTACCTGGATATCTCTTCAGTTTATATGTAACTTCCTACACACTACAGTTGCCTCTTCTTTTCTCCACAGGTGGTTCAGAATCTGGGGAGCCTTATATTCCAGGGGTCTTTTTCAGACAGTTTCTACCTGTATCACCCAAGGCAAGTGGCAGTGCTTAGAATATTCTAAACGTGGAATGTGGCAGATAGAAAACTGTGGCTTGAGTTTTTGCAACCCCACACTGAGTATTAGAAGATAAAAGAAATTTAGCGGCTAGGACTTTGTTGTATTCTTGGGATGCAGAGAAGTTGGATCTGTCATGGTCCTTGTCTTGGTCCTCAGGTGCAGTTTGATATAGTCGTATCAGCCTTTTCCTTAAGTGAACTGCCCAGCAGGGCTGACCGTAATGAAGTAGTTCAGACCTTATGGCGTAAGACACATCATTTCCTGGTGAGTTAAAATTCCTTGTTCCCTTAAGTCTTAAAGCAGCTTGATGGATTTCATGCCTTTTCTTCTCTCATTGTCTTCATTCTCCATCTATGTTTATTCTTACAGAGCTACTGACATTTACACCTTCATGTAATTTAAGACTTCTGCGTATTATTCCCTTTCGTAAACAGGTGCTGGTGGAGAATGGAACAAAAGCTGGGCACAGCCTTCTCATGGATGCCAGGGATCTGGTCCTTAATGTAAGGCTGCTTCTTCCCTCACTCCGCCACCCATATGTCACCAATTACTATTACTCCCTTGAAAACTAAGGAGATTGTACAATTCAGGACTTTACAATTCAAGATGAGATTTGGAGAAAAAAAAAAAATAAAAGAAAAAGCTAAAGAGATTGTCATATATTGGCAAAGGTAACTCTCAGGAAATTTAGCATATAAAGTCATATGATATAGAGCAGTGGTTGGCAAATGAGAGCCTGTGGATCAAATCAGACCTGCCACCTGTTTTTATATAGGCCATACTTATTTGTGCCTCTGTTGTCTGTGACTGCTTTCAAACTACAAAGAGCAAGATTGAGTAGTAGGGACAGAGAGAGATTTTTGCCTACTTATTGGCCCTTTAAAAGAAAGTTTGCTGACTCCTAATCTACGGCATTGCTGAGCTAAAAACCTTGTCACTGGGGGAAGAGTATGAGCCGGTGTATAATCATAAATTTAATTGTCCTGGAGTGGGATTTTTTTTGAGAGTGGAGGTTGCTGACAAGGAAGAGCACCGTACTATGTGCCAAGTTCTTGCCTTTCTCCTACAGCAAAGAGAAAGTTCTTTGTTCAGAGTATTAAAGATGCAGCCAGCTTAACTCAAAGGACATAGTTAATCGTTATTAGTGTTGAATATTACAGGAGTCCTCAATTTACTGAATGCAGAGATTGAGTTATGAAAATAGACCCCTGGCCCAGCTTTATTTCTTTTATTTCCTTTGATTTCAGGGAAATGAGAAGTCACCTTTGGACCCTCGACCTGGTTTTGTCTTTGCCCCAGTGAGTATTACTTCTACCTGTCCCACCACACAGATCTGAACTCAGGTGTGGCCAGGAAAAGTAAAAGGGTAAAGCTAAGCCATTCTCCACTACTTTGTGTTCCTATCCAGTTCCTACCTAATGATTCCCCTGGCTCTTCCTACCCTCTGCTCCTGTCCTCCCTTCTCCCTGGTGCCTTTTGACTCTATCATTCTTAGTTTTTAAGTTTTGTGATTGATGGCTCTTTTGTCTTACCTCATTTTTTTCTGTGTTCACAGTGTCCCCATGAACTCCCTTGTCCCCAATTGACAACCTCTAAGCCCCTGGCCTGTAGCTTCTCACAGGCGTACCATCCCATTCCCTTCAGCTGGGTATGTACCTGGGGCTATTGCAGCAGGGAGCAAACATCCTGGAAAAACAGAAAGAAAAAGAATCAGAGTTAGGAGGAGTTGAATAATTAATAGAACAGGCTACAGACTTTAGGGCCTACATGTATATGATTTATACATTGTAAAAAAGGACTGCAGGAATGGAAAACGGGGGCTTTACAAACTTTTTCCCTATATCTTTTCTTCTAAGCAGTCTCTATGTTCCTTATCTTAGAACAACAAACCAAAGGAAGAAAAGTTCTCTATGGTGATCCTTGCTCGGGGGTCTCCAGAGGAGGCTAATCGCTGGCCCCGTATCACTCAACCTGTCCTTAAACGGCCTCGCCATGTGCATTGTCACTTGTGCTGTCCAGATGGGCATATGCAGCATGCTGTGATCACAGCCCGCCGGCATGGCAGGTATAGGGGATGTGACCAAAATTAATGGGATGTGGCAAGACCCTGCAGCCCACATTAACATCTCATTTCCACAGGGATTTGTATCGTTGTGCCCGAGTCAGCTCCTGGGGAGATCTTTTACCTGTGTTTACTCCATCTGCGTTTCCTCCGTCCCCTGCTCAAGATCCCTCTGAGAGTTGACAAGGATGTGTAACAAGTATTTTCTTCTATCATGCCTTCTAGGGCTGAAGCTACCTGGTATCCAGGAGGGGAATGCTGGCATCCCCATATGTCTGTGTTTGAGATTTTTAATAATAAATAATAAATTTTTAAAGAATGAAAGTGGATTTCGTGATTCTTAAGTGTAGAAGCCAGGCATGGTGGCACGTGCCTGCATTTCCAGCCACTCAGGAAGCTGAGGTGGGAGGATCATTTGAGCCCAGAATTTAAGGCTGCAGTGAGCTATGATTGTACTACTGCACTCTAGCATAGGTGACACAGCAAGACCTCCTCTCTTAAAAAAAAAAAAAAAAGAAGAAGAATACATAAAAGCTGTAGTTAATTAACCTGGCCTATCCTGTAATGAAGAGCTTCCTCAGATTTTTGGTGCCACTCTTCCCACACAAATCCCAAGCTGACCTTCTCCTATTGTGACAGGCCAGATCTCTGTAAGGTCTTCACTGTAATGATGAATGTATACGCTCATCATTCAAGCAGAAGGAGAAAAACCAGATTTCCATAAGCCCTTTGCTGTAATGATGAATGTACATTAAAGCAGAAGCAAGAAAATGGATAATGAATTGGGGGAAATCAAGTGCCTGAATAAGAGGGCTGGAATACAAAAAAAGCAAGCCCCACCTGTACTTTATCGACCTCAGATCTAGTTTAGTGATAAAAGCAGTCCTGCACATAAGACCCATACCAGGACCAACTTAAGATTGATAAACCTTTCTATCTGCAGATCCCTAGTTTGTATAGATTAGGAAACATGCCCACAGGTGTACAATAGAGTTAATTGTATATATAAGCTAAAGAAAAACTTGTAACTTTGAGTTGGTCTGGTGGGCTACTCCAGCCTTCGCCCTGTAATCAGTTGTAGAAATAAACTGCCTTCTTTCCCAGTCTGTCTGCATCTCATTATTAGACCACAAGAACAAGCAGCTGGACCCCATTCATCCAGAAACACTGTAAGAATAGTGCTTCTACCATAGGCCAGGACTTCCCTAGGAAGATAATCCGGAGTTGCAAGGAAAGCCGCCTCCAGAGCTCTGAGAACTGGCTCAACAGGTCTCAGGGTTGTTATGTGGGCCACCTGAATAGGGGAATCAGCAGCTGCCTGGACTGTCTTTTACTATTGCCTTCCCTTCTGTTTTTCCCGGGGTTCCTCAGCTACCCTAGAGTATGTATGGGAAATCTCCCATACATTTCTATCAAGAATGATTCCCATCAGAACTGAATTTTCTACCCCCGACCCCTCTATATCCAGGTAGAATCCTCCCATTTACTCAGTTCATTTGTTTTTCCCTAGGCCTTGCTGTTTCAGGGTTAGGGCAGCTTCCTTTGTCTTAAAACTTAAATGTCTGTTTTTCCACAGTTCTTAGCAGGAAACAGGCACAATCAGAAATTGTGACAGTATCAGTGTAATACCAGAAATAACTCATCGCTCTCAAAACTGGTCCAATCAAAAGAGAAAGAAAAAGTAAATCAGTACCGCTAGACATTTCCATGCCTGGAGCTATTTTTCTGGTTACAAGAAAACGTAATCCAGGTGGCCCCAAATAAAAGGGGGTGGTTCAAGTATCAGCATTGCAACCTGTAAGACTTGGGGTAGGGTGGAGAGGGTATGGAAGGCTTAGATCAGATGTCCTGAGTAAGACAGGACCAGATTGTCCCCAATACAAAATAGCTGGGAAGCAGCTACCATAGACTTTCCTATTTTGGATTAGACCAACCCTAGGCACACGAACTGAGACTATCCATAGCCCCTGGATTAGTCATGGCATTGAGGAGGAGGAGAAGACGCCACTGGGCTGTGCCTGACAGGGAGTCCGGAGTTTCTGGTTTCTAAGCTCGGGAAGGCGGAGCCAGGGGAGGGGCCTCCATGCAGTGGGAGGGCTGGAAGCTGGGGCAGGACCCATCAGCTCTGCAATGCTGCACAAGGAGAAGCAACACAGAAGATACCAATAGCCTCCTGAAACTCGCAAGAGTGGACACTCCAGTGTTGACCACCTAAGATACTGCTTCAAAGAGGACAACTCCCTTGTCATTCTGACTCCTGGACTTACACTATACCCCAGAGATGGAGCAACTACTAGGAGTAAAACTTGGTTGCCTGTTTGCCCTGTTGGCTCTCACTCTGGGCTGTGGCCTTATTCCTATCTGCTTCAAATGGTTCCAGATTGATGCAGCCGGAGGTACAGCTCTACCCATCTTTGTTCCATAGCCTGAGTCTCACCTCAACCCTGTCCTGATACCTTGCTCTGATTCTCTCACCACCCCCAACCTTGGGATATTGAGTGCTGCCTGCTGCTCTTTACTCACCTTCGTCTGTCTCCTCAGTGCCAGGTGGGTTGTAACTTCTGCTTTTTATTAGGTCATCGCAGGCGGGTCCTCAGACTCCTGGGCTGTATTTCTGCTGGTGTTTTCCTGGGAGCAGGGTTCATGCACATGACTGCTGAAGCCCTGGAAGAAATTGAATCACAGATCCAGAAGTTCATTGTGCAGGTGAGAGCAAAGATGCCAAGCTGCGGACCTCTGAGGGCAAAAGGATAAACAGAACAAAGAGAAGAGAGCAGGAAAGGGATGGAGCCAAGGACATGGGTGGAACGACAGGGAAGATGAAGCTCTTGTGTGCAATGATGAAAGCAAGTCAGATTAGGCTTTAAGGAAAAGAGAATTGCTGAAGGGACAGGACAGGAAGCTTCGCTGCTCCACCCCAAGTCTAATTTCTGCCGTTCTCTCCTTAGAACAGATCAGCAAGTGAGGGAAATTCTTCTGGTGATGCCAATTCAGCTCAGGTAAGTACCTCTCACCATCCCCTCTGGAGGGTGAGGAGAACCAGAGAGGCCTTTCATATCCAGACCCCTTTGGGAGGATCACGTGAGGAGTACCAAGAATCCCTCCTGCTCCCTAGCTCAGAAATTGTAGAGGAAAAGGGCAGCAAACGCAATCCCTCTGAGTTTATAGAACCCTAGAAAAAGCTCTTGCTTTACTCTTTCATTCTTTCCCTAGATCCTCTGCTACACCTCACATCATTTTCCCATATTTTTAACTCTATTGAGATTGTGTCCCTGAGTCCCTCTGATGGTCTTTTGTTGTTTTTGTTCGTTTTCTGAGACAAAATCTCCTCTTTATCACCCAGGCTGGAGTGCAGTGATGCAATCTCGGCTCACTGCAACCTCTGCCTTCTCGGTTCTAGCAATTCTCCTGCCTCATCCTCCTGAGTAGTTGGGATTACAGGCACATGCCACCATGCCCGGCTAGTTTTTGTATTTGTTGTAGAGACAGGGTTTCACGATACTGGCCAGGCTGGTCTTGATCTCCTGACCCCCAGTGATCTGCCCACCTCGGTCCCCCAAAGTGCTGCAATTATAGGCGTGAGCCACTGTGTCCTGCCCACTCTGGCATTCTTGTTGCATGTCCATGTCTGCTCTTAGCTTTATTTCCCCTATTCTTTTTTGTGTTCAGTTACCACATTGTCTCATTCTCTTCAATCTCCCAATTCCATGTCCATCCAATGCATTGCCTACTCTTCCTTTTCATCTCACAGCCCTCCTTTTTATTCCTAGACGGAGTATCCCTATGGAGAGCTCATCATCTCCCTGGGCTTCTTTTTTGTCTTCTTTTTGGAGTCACTGGCATTGCAGTGCTGTCCTGGGGCTGCTGGAGGATCAACAGTGCAGGAGGAAGAATGGGGTGGGGCTCATATCTTCGAACTCCACAGCCATGGACATATACCCTCACCCTCAAAGAGTCCCCTGCGAGCCCTTGTCCTCTTGCTCTCACTCTCCTTTCACTCAGTGTTTGAAGGGCTAGCTGTGGGGCTGCAGCCGACAGTAGCAGCTACCGTGCAGCTCTGCCTTGCGGTCCTGGCTCATAAGGGGCTTGTGGTATTTGGTGTAGGAATGCGGCTGGTGCAGTTAGGTACTAGATCACGATGGGCTGTGTTCTCCATACTATTATTAGCTCTCATGTCTCCCCTAGGTCTAGCCATAGGGCTGGCTGTGACTGGAGGGGACTCTGAAGGAGGATGGGGCTTAGCCCAGGCTGTGTTAGAGGGTGTGGCAGCTGGCACCTTCCTGTATGTCACCTTCCTAGAAATTCTTCCACGGGAGCTAGCTAGTCCTGAGGCCCCTCTAACTAAGTGGAGCTGTGTAGCCGCTGGTTTTGCCTTCATGGCCTTTATTGCCTTATGGGCGTGAGAGAGTCCTGGCTTTTCTGATGGACCTACTTACGATGCGATGACCTCTTTATCCCCAGGGACACCTCCCAAATGGCTTTGACCCTCAGACATTTCTTTACTGAGACTAAATAACATTCAATAGAATTGGACTGGACCCCAGCTTTCCTTTACCTGAGATCCCATTTCTCACCCAGGACTGAGAAAAAGATATTTAGGTTGAGCAGCTATGAATTGGAGCATTGGTACAGAGACCCTTCAGGTTCTGTTCTTGTCCATTTATGCTACTGTGTGTAATAAAATGCCCATTTTTCCCTCCTTCAGCCGTTTTGGATTTTATTTCTCCTGGTTGCCTAGAAGCTATCTGCACATGAAGCCATGGAATAGGGAATGGGAAGAATGAATGTTGAAGGTAGTGTTTTCTTCTGGAATTAGAACCCCTAGCCATTCTGTCAGTTGCCAGCCACAGCTCCAGACATGGAGCCTTGCTAAAATTCCAACAACCTCCTCCCACCTTACCCGTTGTAGTTGAGAAAATGAGCCAGTTCCCAGCATTTAAAAGGAAAGAAAGTTAGAAACCAAAATGATGTGGATCGATTATGTTCCTACACTTAACGTACCCACTCCACTCCCAGTTCCTACTATCAGCCACCCATGACACGTCCAGGCTAAATGGAGATCAGGCGGAATACAGCCCATCTGCATCAGGTTTCTATTTCTTCACACTGAGCCCTGTGTGGCCTCAGGGACACTATTGCTGTTCTCTGAGTTTCTATCTCCTTCCAGCTGCCTTGTATTGAGGGGTTAAAAAGCAGTGTGTTTGGAGAGGGAGAAAGGTGCCAGATATTAAAATAAAGTCCTGGGGCAATTACTTGGCTCTGGAAGGACTTATTGGCTTTCTTTGTGTCTGCCTTACAAATTGTCTTTCCATCTGAGTAACCCCTACAATGTGTTACTTCCCTTAAAAACTGCTGAGGATGGCTGGGCACAGTGGCTCGCGCCTGTAATCCCAGCACTTTGGGAGGCTGAGGCAGGCAGATCACAAGGTCAGGGGTTCAAGGACAGCCTGGCCAATATGGTGAAACCCCATCTCTACTAAAAATAGAAAAATTAGCTGGGCTTAGTGGCACATGCCTGTAGTCCCAGCTACTTGGGAGGCTGAAGCAGAAGAATCTCTTGAACCCAGGAGGAGGAGGTTTCAGTGAGCCGAGACTATGCCACTGCACTCCAACCTGGGCAACAGAATGAGACTCCATCTAAAAAAAAAAAAAAAAAACTGCTGAGGACAAATACGAAAGTAGGTTAGCTGAAACTGAGTAGGAACAAGATAGCTATTGTGTAGCCCCCAGCTCATGAGTTGAAGGAATATCTCAAACTTAGTGGAGAAATGGGGAAAGAGAAAGTGTGTTCTGTGAGTTCAATTACCCCCACAAGTTGGCCCTTTCTAGTATTTTTAGCATGAAAGTCCAAGTAGCCTTAATATGGATATTCATTCTTCTTCTCAGTCTCTGTCTCCTTTTGATACTATTCCCCTCCCTACAAAGTAAGAAATACAAGCCTCCTCACAAGCCCAGTTTACACACCCAGAGATCAGCAAGAAGGCAAGGTTCAGGCAAAAATGATGGATGGATAGATGATAGATAGATAGATAGATAATGCCTAACACTGGAAATCATTTCCCTAAAGTACCAAGTATTGTTTTCTATTTAAAAAATGCAGTAACATGTAATACACTCAGAACAGTTGTCAAGTGTGTAGTAGTTTCTATTGTAATAGTTTCTGCATTGAACAACTGCTATGTGCTAGGTACCACTGTGGCAGGCCAGGTTTCACTAATGCAGGACTCTATCAAAACTCTTTCAGTATTGACTGAGTGGTTAAGTATTAAAAGCTAAAAGAGGCTAAGTACAGTGGCTCACGCCTGTAATCTCAGCACTTTGGGAGGCCAAGGCGGATGGATCACCTGAGGTCGCGTGTTCGAGGTCAGCCTGATGAACATGGAGAAACCCGTCTCTACTAAAAATACAAAAAGAAAAAAGAAAAGAAAAAAATTAGCAGGATGTGGTGGCACATGCCTGTAATCCCAGCTACTCAGGAGGCTGAGGCAGAAGAATTGCTTGAATTTGGGAGGCAAAAGTTGTGGTGATTTGAGATCCTGCCATTGCACTCCAGCCTGGGCTACAAGAGTGAAATTCTCTCAAAAGAAAGGTAAGGGTACTCACCCCTGCTTTACAGCTAGGTAAGGCCTGGGACACATGGGAGTTAGATGCTGGAATAAGTCAGACCTTATCTGCACTTCTGTCTCGGTCCTAGGCTCCATACCTAGTACATAGCTAAAATCCCAAACTTACCAAGGTTTTCACCAATAGTAAAGGTTGCTAAGAGTTAACAACGTAACATGTATTTGGGACTGCTGAAGAAATAATCTATATGCAAGGTGTGTAAGTAAAGTAAAATATGCTTTTTTAGTAAAAGATTATAAGGAGGCTGGGCGCGGTGGCTCAAGCCTGTAATCCTAGCACTTTGGGAGGCCGAGGCGGGTGGATCGCGAGGTCAAGAGATTGAGACCATCCTAGTCAACGTGGTGAAACCCCGTCTTTACTAAAAATACAAAAAATTAGCTGGGCATGGTGGCGCGTGCCTGTAATCCCAACTACTCAGGAGGCTGAGGCAGGAGAATTGCCTGAACCCAGGAGGCGGAGGTTGCGGTGAGCCGAGATTGTGCCATTGCACTACAGCCTGGGTAACAAGAGCGAAACTCCATCTCAAAAAAAAAAAAGGTTATAAGGAGGCATGAGAATGTGAATTTTTGCCTAGATTAAAAGGTTAAAGGATTGTTTTAAGTTGGATACAATAAAGGTTTAAGCAAGTTGTAGAAGGTTAATTGTAGAGAAAACTCTGTGTATAAAACATACTGGCTAAAGTTAGAGGGGTATCATCCAGTTTTCCTGTAAATTGAGCATTGAAATAAAAGCACAATGGGTTTCTCTTAGAGCACTAACTGGCTCTCTAACAAAAATTGTAAAGGGTTATAAAAAGTCTGTAAAAATCTTACCTTATGGTCAAACATTAAAATTGGGTAAATATGTCTATAAGGATTTATTAAGAATTGGGTTTGACATGAATAGTACACTGAAGTAAAGGTGAAATTGGGCTTATTTGGTATGAAATTATATAGGAAGCATTGTCAAATATGAAATAGTGTTTGGCTTTCTTTGGGCTATATTTGTGTAACTATGTTATTGGTATGTGTTCCAAAGTTATGGGAGATTCCTACAATTCTGATATATCTTAGTGTATGTTATCAGTAATAATTATAATTGTTATGTTAAATTATTGTGTACTATAGAGGTAACAGATTTCCTTGTCAATTGTGTTTCTTTCTCTTTTTTTTTTTGAGACAGAGTCTCACTCTTGTCACCCAGGCTGGAGTGTAGTGGCATGATCTCGGCTCACTGCAACCTCCGCCTCCTGGGTTCAAGCAATTTTCCTGCCTCAGCCTTCCAAGTAGCTGGGATCACAGGCATGTGCCACCAGGCCTGGTTAATTTTTGTATTTTTAGTAGAGACAAGGTTTTGCCATGTTGGCCAGGCTGGTCTTGACCTCCTGACCTCCTGATCTGCCTGCCTCAGTCTCCCAAAGTGCTGGGATTACAGGCATGGACCACTACAGCTGGCCATCAATTGTGTCTTTAACTATGGCTACCCCAAAACATTTTGTTATCTGTAAACAATTGTCGTCTTGTTTTGATCCTCTTTAGAAGGTGGTTTTATAATCAGCTATAAAGCTCTAACAGGGCTGGGTGCAGTAGCTCATGCCTGTAATCCCAGCACTTTGGGAGGCCAAGAAGGGTGGATCACCTGATGTCAGGAGTTCGAGACCAGCCTGGCCAACATGGTGAAATCCCATCTCTACTAAAAATATAAAAATTAGCTAGGCATGGTGGCTAGGCATGGTAGTCCCAGCTACTCAGGAGGCTGAGGCAGAATTGCTCAAATGCAGGAGGCAGAGGTTGCAGTGAGCCGAGACAGTGACATCAGAATAGAGGAAAAACATTCAGGGCTACTGGGAACAAATAGACCTCTTCCACTCCAGTGCTGCATTTGGTCTTCATATCGATGACCCTCTCTCAGCAGGAAGTAGCCAGAAAGATTATAATGCCCCATCTCCCTATGATCCTCAGGATAAACAAAAATACAAGCATGATAGAAATCATGCACAAATTGACAGTGGGGATTGTGGCAGGCCAGGCTTCACTAATGCAGGCCTCTATCACAACTATTTTAGTACTAACTGGGTGGTTAAGTTAAGTGTTAAAAGCCAATGTCCTTATACAAATGCTGTAATGTAACAAAAGCCCATCAAGAGTTTTGCCTACACCTTTCCTGGCAAAACTTAAAGCATAACAAAATAACCAAAAAATTCTTAACAGGACCCATTTAGGATTAAACAAGTCTTATTGAGGGTCTTCACAAACAAGTCCCAGCCTCTTGAATAGCTGGGACTACAGGTGCATGCCACCACGCCTGGCTGATTTTTTATTTTTAGTAGAGATGGGATTTCACCATGTTGGCCAGGCTGGTCTCGAACTCCTGACATCAGGTGATCCACCCTTCTTGGCCTCCCAAAGTGCTGGGATTACAGGCATGAGCTACTGCACCCAGCCCTGTTAGAGCTTTATAGCTGATTATAAAACCACCTTCTAAAGAGGATCAAAACAAGACGACAATTGTTTACAGATAACAAAATGTTTTGGGGTAGCCATAGTTAAAGACACAATTGATGGCCAGCTGTAGTGGCCCATGCCTGTAATCCCAGCACTTTGGGAGACTGGGGCGGGCAGATCAGGAGGTCAAGAGGTCAAGACCAGCCTGGCCAACATGGCAAAACCTTGTCTCTACTAAAAATACAAAAATTAACCAGGCCTGGTGGCACATGCCTGTGATCCCAGCTACTTGGAAGGCTGAGGCAGGAAAATTGCTTGAACCCAGGAGGCGGAGGTTGCAGTGAGCCGAGATCATGCCACTACACTCCAGCCTGGGTGACAAGAGTGAGACTCTGTCTCAAAAAAAAAAAGAGAAAGAAACGCAATTGACAAGGAAATCTGTTACCTCTATAGCACACAATAATTTAACATAACAATTATAATTATTACTGATAACATACACTAAGATATATCAGAATTGTAGGAATCTCCCATAACTTTGGAACACATACCAATAACATAGTTACAGGCCTTCACAAACAAGTTTATTGGACCTCTGAAGGAACTCTCCAAACCTCTGTGATTTAGCAGGAGGCAAGATAAGGGTAATCAC